GGTTCGTCTGGGCACACCCCCCCTCCCTCCCTCCCTGCGACTCCCTCTCCCTCTTCGTCGTCTCCCTCCCCGGGCATACTGTCTAACCGTACGGTAATAAATTTACAGTGGAATGTTTCGTTCAACTGTGGTCATTTTTTTTTTTTTCGAGAAAAGGAAAACCAAATCCAGTTGACAGTTCATTTTTATGAACTATTGTCTGCATGTCGGAAACTGTACTCTGTCCTGACGAGTTAGAAGAAAAATCGCACAGAATAGACAGAGATTCCATGCTGTCATTTTTCCCAACCGAATGATTTGCTACTCATCAGTATTCTCGTTGTGAACATATCATCATGTGTTCGGTCTCATAGAATCGCTCAGCTTTCACATACTTTGCACATCCAAAGTTGGTTTGATTTCGGGTGAGGTCTATCCGCTGGTCACTTGTTCATCTCACCCGAACAGAGAGACATGGTGGGAATATAGCATAGATTCACAATGCCAACAATTTGCCTCATTCATAAATATTCTGTATGTATCTTTCATACGCCACTCAGTAGTTAATGTGGCCGAGGCGTTTCGACTTCTCGAATCAGTTCGCACTGGCCGATCTAAGAGGATTAGGAGCCCCAATTCGGCTAAAACGGAAGCGATCGAAATCCGCCCTATGCTCCCAAAAACAATTTGTAAGAACTGAACTTTTCGCAATCGACATAACAACTTCAAATCTGTCAAAAAAACCATTTACACAATTCGTAAGAACACTCGGTCTTCCATGGCCAACACTACACACCACAGAGCCATCCCCCCACACATCCCTAATGATCCGAACCGGTGCGCATGTGTGAGGACCACAATGTGAGCATCATCCGGTCATGAAACTGGAATGTTGATTATCTCTTTTCCAATCTGTCATGATTTCCTCCCCTTCTAAACAGTTTGATATAAATTGTGATGTATTAGTCTGTAGAAGAATTACCGAAAACAAGCTTGTACGCTTCTGTGCTTCAAACAAATTCTGTTGGAGAAAGAAACGGACAGTTCACTGTGCCTGCAATCGTGACTTGAGGGGCTGTAGTAAACTGTTTGTCATTGGAGCACCAACCTAATCAACCCTAACAGGTTCTACTCAACCTTGTTGTTTGGTGATTGCCCCGGTAGGGACATTCACTATCCGTTGCGGTTCAAACCCCCGAAAGGCCTGTTGATATGTGTACCGTGGGTCAGTTTAGGCGAACAGTTAAACTTTAGATTGTTGTTTGGCAGATTTGAAGATTTTATGGCGATTATGAAAAATTCCGTAACCTCAGTGGAATTCGAATCCACACATTGACGCCGCCTACGCTTTAGTACAGCGCACGCTCTACCAGGTGACCTACAACGATGTCACACCAATTGCACTGATCTTTTCACATGCGAATTGTTCATCCACCTAAAAGGTGTATATATCATCCACCAGTTGGTATGTAAGCTGACTGCCCCTCAGAATTCACCTCACTCCACCGAATGAGCTTCTAAGGAAAAGTTAAACTTTCGTCTGCTCTCGTCTGATGTTATCAACATCAATTTTGTTGATCCATAATAAATAAATAAACATAAATATGATGGTATCAGGAATGATTCTGTAAAACAGTTGTCCAGATTTGGATATTGATTAAAATTTATGGTTCATTTTGCTAAAAATGGATGTAGTTTAGTCTTTCTGTTGATCCGCCTTAAAAGAAGAAGAAAGCAGTAACATTTATGCTACACTGAACTGAGCTGACCTTGTTGAAGAGATGGACACTAACCTTATTTCTCAACTACTCCGCGGTCACTGGCTTCTTTCTCAAACCAACTGTTCTCTCACTCAGAACCGATTCGGTTTGACGGAAACACTGATTACATTTTTTCATAATTGGAGCGGTCTGCTTTTCGCCGTGTCAGCATTAAGATGGTTAAACTCTTCACATGTTTCCCAAAAGCTCAGATCTGACACGTTCAGCCAAGACCAAATGTGTTTTGTTATCGTTCGTTAAGTTCGTCTTGGAACAACTGTCGGCTTTCCCGACCACGAGCACACATACACACACAGAACGATTCAGGACCGTGTGTGGACGGGCTTGGGAGTTGTGCTTCGTCGGATAAAAGGGCAGATGAATCGCAGTTGAAAACCGTACTCACCAGCAGTGTGTTTCCGTCACATGAAACAGATGACGGAAGTGCAGTTGCAAATTCAAACACACACACACACACCATTCAGGTGACATGTTTCAAAACGCGCTTTCAGGCAAAAATATAAATTCTTCATCGCGACCGACCAAGTTACGTGGAAAGATAAAAGCAAGAAGGGTGATGGGTTAATGGGGCAAATCCTCATTATCATCAACAGTTTGAACATATGAGAATGTGCAAATCAATTATCGTCACATCAAACTGCAGCATATTGCTAACCGTTATACTAAGGGCAGAGTAACTCCTTACCCGAGTGTTTTCTCACTTTATTAATCCATCCATCCATCCATCTATCCATCCAACTTTCACGCATACACACACATGCCTACATTGTACTTTCTTTCGACAAGAGTTACAAGCTGATCCAGGTCAGTCTGCTCCAGTCTGAGAGGAAGTACTAGACAAACGGGGAAGAGGTTTTTCGAAATGGATGCCTAAGATTTTCGGGCACATACTTCGCGGTAGCCCACAGCGACGAAGGGGAACCCTAACCGGAGCCTTTGGCTCAAAAGTCTGACCTGCAGGGCAGTGAGCGTAAATTCAGCCTGGGAGTGTGAACAAAGCACCGGTCACTGAGGAGTCTGAAGACCTGTCACGCAAGGACAATATCAGAACGCTTTCAACCGTGTAGGCGGGAACACACTACTCGTGTTATCTAACAAGAGTCACACATACAGTCATCCGTTCGGATGCTTGCGTGACTATAGTTCACCAACCATGTGCGGTTCACCTGTCTCAATGATAAGACCCCTTGCGCAGTCCCCGTCAAAATGAGTGTAATGCAACAAGCCATGTCTCCTAACCTCTCTTAGTCGCTCCCATTACGATTGACTTTTTAATCATTGGCCATTTGATACCAATTTCAAAATTTATTTGATGTAAGGTGATCAACAAGTGTGAACCTAACGCCTAGAAAACTGCATCAAAGTGCTGTTCACAGTCTACCGAAACAACCGTGAATCGTTACAGTGCTATCATGGCTACCTCGTCAGGTGTGATCTCCAAAACTACTGCAGATGACCGGGGCCAGGAAAACATGA